GACTTAGGTGTCCCCCTGCCCTTCTCCTATTCCCATTTTGTGGCTCACAGTGGGATAATTTAATTTCCCCAAAATAATAATAATAATAATATAATAAAATTTATTTATATACCACCCAATGGTTGCCCAAAAGAGGCTTCCAATTGCACTCTAGCAGAACAAAGCCTCCTATGGAGCCAAATGTGCAGCTGCTCTTTCATGGGAAGGGCTGAGACCTAAACCAACAACATGAAGGTTAAGTGTGCTGGAGAGAGAATGTGAAGAAAGGAGCAACCAGGACTAACAACACCACTAGCAGGGTTAGATTTTAGAAGAAGGGTCATCCCACCCCAGCAGCAATGTTCATGACACAAAAGTAACAGATAGCATTCAGTGCCCATTTAGCCATAGTTGTGGCTGCAATCTTGCTTGTTCTAATAGGCAGAACCAAGCACAGAATTCCATTTGCTAAAAGAAAAAGTTAGGATTTAACGAATTTGCTCTAATCACTTGATCACATCTAACATCAGGACAAAGTTAATACACTTACAGGTTTGCTAGGAATGCACCTCTTCCACAATATCCTTACAGATTTTACAGACATATATCCTGAGTTCCAGAACCAAAGGATAGTACACAACAGCCTTGGTGGTTTCCAAATATCCTTAGCAATTTTACCTGTTAAAATCCTACACATCATCTCTTCCAGGTTTCTTGCTAACCTGGAGCAAATTTGTATCAGGACTATGTCCAACTCTGCCCAATAAATTCTCTTCCCCCCCCCCCCACTACTTCCATCTGGGGCATGACATGGCAAGTTACTTTTTTGGACTACAGTTTCCTGAAATCCCAAGCCAGCATGTCTGCTGGCCACTGGCCATACTTCATCAAGAATTCTAAGGGTCTACAGTCCAAAACAAGTGACTTTGCCAAGTTCTGCACCTGTTCCACACTGGCAAAGACAGATGTTTGAGGTCTGTTCCCATTAACATCAGAAAAGGTGGCCCACTCCTTCCCTGTTACAAGCTAAGCTACAGGTCATGCTTAAGCTCTCGATTTGTTTATATCTGAAATGCAGCCACTGAGAGCTGGAAATTTTTTCAGAGCAGCAACGGTCCTTAACCTTTTCTTAGCATACTGTTTTTCTGATCAAAATCACTTTACACCATGGGGGAAAATACCTGTTATATTTTCCTTCCCCTGTGCATGCAAAATATCAGTTTGAAAAGGACCCATGACATCTTGGTTGGGAAAACATTAGAGATGAGGTAAGAATTTTACACATTGTTCTTTCTCCTTCTCTTCCTCCTTCTGCTGCTGTGCCAAACACACAGGCACAGCACAGCATTTGCAGGAGAAAATGCACCAAGAAACAGACATGGGGAAGAAGACCGCTTGGCAGAAGTGACCCATTTATTTCAATCAGACCAGTATAGAAACCTTTGTGACAGATTATACCAACTGTAAAGGAGAAAATCTCTTCTTCCCTCTTAAATGAGAGCACAACTAGACAAGAAGGCAAGAGATCTGTGATCCTGTGTCCTGTTATTTGCTTTTCAAAGAACAAAGGCGGTTGCAGGAAGGCAGCAGAAGCAAGAAAGAAGCAGAGGAAGCCTGTCCCTAGAAGGCATTTAACTCTGTGTGTGTGTGTGTGTGTTTGTGTGTGTGTGTGTGTGTATGCACATGCACATGTCTTCAAGTCCCCTGGACTTATGGCAACCCCATGATTTTCATAGGGTTTTCTTATGCAAGGATTCCTCAGAGATTGTTTTGCCAGTTCCCTCCTCTAAAATATAGCCTACACCACCTTGCACTTGTTGGCAGTCTTCCATTAAAGTACTAACCATGGCTGACCCAACTTAGCTTTCCAAGATCTACCACACTGTATCAATTTTATTTATTTAATATTAGTTACATTTAAATCCTGTCTTTCCTCCAATGAACTCATTGGCATACATGTCTCCTATTCTCCCTAGTTGTTGTGTGCCTTCAAGTTGTTTCTGACTTATGGAGCCCCCTATCATGTTTTTTGGGGGCAAGATTTGTTGTTCAGAGGGGGTCCTTACCTTTGCTTGAGGTTGAGAGAGTGTGACTTGGCCAAGGTCACCAAAGTGGGTTTCAAGGACCAAGCAGGGATTTGAATCCTGGCCTCTAGAGTCATAGCCCAATGCTCAAACCACTACACTACATCATGCTGGCTCTCACTTCATCCAGACAACCATCTGATCAGGTAGCTTAGGGAGACAGAGGGAGAGAAGGAGAGAGAGAGAAGTTGGCCCAGCCATCACCCAGTGAATGTCATGGTTCATTGAGAGCTTGAACACAGATCTGTGGTCCAACACTTCTAGATGTAATACCACACTGACCTCCCTCTCTGTTCAATGGAGTGAATTAAAGTAATGTCTTTTCCCCATGCTAATTGCTTTGGGAAACAGGAGTCTACACAATATCTCTGTCTTCCCTATGTGGCCAAATATTCACTTCAGAAAACACATCAAGGGATGCAGGACTGCCCCCTCCTGTAATCCCAGACTGATCCTTCCCCTCCCACACTTTTAACTTTTATAAAAACCACAAAAGAGCTAATTAGTGATTACCTATTGTCTCAGTTAGAATTGTGCCTTTTCATCCTCAACTATGCTCCAAAGTGCTGAGGACACTGGCAGTATACTGTGAAGGCACCAAAAATCAGTCAGAGTTTGAGAGCTCAAGTCTTTCCTGTTCCTGTGCTTGGGAGCCTAAATCAGTTATTTTCTCCATTATTGCCACTCTTGCTCTCATCGGTTAGGGTCTAAAGCAGGGTGGCCCAAACTACAAATGCAAATTGCTGGTGCTCTAACAACCACAGTAGTCATGCTACCAAAGAAGTTGTGAAGATAAAGACATGCCAGACGCAAAAATAACGGTGACAATGTGCTTCTGGGTTAGTCTTGGACAGTATGCATACAGGCACACCCACACACATATACACAGAGGGAGAAAGAGAGAACAGCTCTCTCCTGCCTGTATTTTTGTGTCACTTTTCCACTGAAAAATCACCAAATTCTCTTTCTGTATACAATAACCTGAAAGTGATGCTCAATTCAATGCACTGTTGTTGCTGTTACGTGCCTTCAGGTTGTTCCCACCTATGGTGACCCTAAGGTGAACTTATCACAGAAGTTTCTTGGCAAGATTTGTTCAGAGGGGAGTTTGCCTTTGCCTTTTCCTGAGGCCAAGAGAGTGTGATTTGTCTCCAGAGTTATAGTCCAGCGCTCAAACCACTGCACATAAAAGAAGGCTCTGCAATGTTCCAGCCATAATGGGGTTACCCTATAGAATGCTGATCCAAAGACAATATCCAATCAACTTAGGACGTTATCACACGGGGCCCAATCCAAACAAAATCCAAACAAA